CCAACCAACTGAGCCACACCAGCCAGGGCATTCAAGCACTTTCTTCTCTGGATGTATCTGAATAAAGGACCTTTCCAGATTATATGCTTATGGCACTTGAAAAATTAAACAATAAGAATATTTAACACCCACACATATGCTTGTAAAAGTCCAAATACCATAAAGGAACTTTCATCTGAAATTTCAACAATGAAATGTATGTTGTTTCCTGATTTAGAAGCTTATGCTCTTTCTTCAGTATGTTCCAGAGATTTCTGTAATTTCCTGCCTGGCTGAGGAAATAGGATATGATCCAGCAGTCCAATAGAATGTTACTTAACCTCAGTAATCCTATAAAGGAAGATTCTCATTTTGGGTCCAAACATAACCTACAACAGCCCACAGAGTCTTACTTACAGCATAAAATCGCATGTTGTGTTTCAAAGGTATGGGGTCAGGGTCCTTTGACAGCTCAAACTGAGTGATCAGTTCATAGAGGGGTATATAAGTTGGTGGAGTTTCAAACAATGGAATTCCTGGGGGAAGGGGGAAAGGACCAATATAATGATCACAATAAGGTCAAAACGTTGACAGCTCAGTTTTCCTTTCATGACTTCTACTTCATTTGTCCATTTATTCAAAAAGCACTTCAGTACCAAGTACCATAATATCTATACCCATCAATACTTTTTTGAGGCCTACAAGACCAAAAGAGGTCTAAGATAATCTGAATTTGAAGCTTGCTTTTTCATACTTGTAACAAGTTTAGCTACTGATACTTATAACTCACCTGTGCAATTCTGAAGTTTCTGAACAAATGCTCTAGATACTGGGATTGGCTGGGGAAATTTCAAGAAGAAACACGCAGGAAGATCAACACTATTGGCACTGGTGATTGAGGAAAAAGATGGGGTCCTTCAAATAAAAGAAGAGGTAGGGTTGGGTTTTGATTTGATATGAAAATGAAAAATCTAAACGCCCATTCTTAGACATGTCTGCTTCATATAAACACATACTCACAAAGCCTATCAAAACTTTCTTCCCCCAATTCCGAAACATCCTATTTATTAACCCTAAAGTATTTAATCAAACATGTATCGTGAGGCATGTTCTCTAGTTATCGCTCCAACGTAACTCCAAACCAACGTAAGTCCCATGAGAGAAAAAGGAGCAATCATTTAAAAAGAGGAATTAGCACAGTTCTCTTCTTTCTCTCTCAGGACAGAGAATGTGTTCCATGAGCAAACTTCAGAGGAACATTAAAATAAACATTAAAAAAAGAAATTAAATGGAAAAACAAAAAGCCAATCTCTGGAAAGTCAAGTGAGGGAAGAGCCAAGTGAAACTGGCTTAAAACTGGGCTTTATGGTAAAAAATGGACTTTGCTACCCTAGGATTAATTATAGTTAACTTACCATTTGTTATCAACTGGATGTGACCCCATAATTAATGGTGCAATTGGGAGTTTATACATAGCAGATGTTCCTTCAATTGTCACTGATGCATTCATGCCCAAAGATCGAGGAACTGGGAAGAGAAAAGAAAAAGGATATTTTCCAAAGTAACACAAATTATAAGGACCCTAACATTAAGAAAACAAAAAAAAACAGGCTAACTTCTGCATGATTTGTCAGACCTGTTTTGTTTTACAGAGACTGTAATACCTATATAACT